ATATATATATATATATATATATATATATATATATATATATATATATATATATATATATATATATATATATATATATATATATATATATATATATATATATAGTCTGCTATTAATGGTGTGAAAAAAGGGCAATTTAGATTACTTTGCTGGTGTTACAGTAGACTGTAATCATAATTTCTTGTTCAAATTGATGGATAAGTTGGAGATTTTATTCTTTTTTATTAAAATATATATATTATATTAATTATATATATATATAATTAATATATATATATCGAATGGTATACCGTATCGTACCGTACTGAGAAAATATCAAAACTCCGATATAATATGATATTTCAATCTTTGATATAAATTATATGTTACCTTTTTTTAACATCCACTCAATAAACTTAGATTAATCATTATGAATTAATAGATTTTAGATATATTTATATATTTCAAAATTTTATAAATTATTTAAAATTTTTATTTTTATTAATAATGTTATTTGAAGTTTCAGGCTTGATGAAGATTAACCATATTAGTATATAAATTCATACATACATACATACATACATAAATACATATATATATATAATTAAATTAACATATATCCTCTTGTGGAGTTGATTGTAGCTGATTGTCCCTTTAAAACTGCATGAATGATTATAAGAATATTAAAATTTTATTTTTAATTAAATTAGCTACTGTTGAATATGATTGGTGGTGGTTAATCTAGTATTTAGGATTTATATTTCAAGAAGAAATATGTAAATATCTGGAGGGACTTGTATCATAAACTTGCTATATTTACATTTGTGTAAGAAGAGATATAAACAAAAACCTAAACAATAACATATATGAATCATATTGCAAAGCTTTTGAGTGAAAGTGAACCCTAAGGGGACCAAAGTCCATTTTAAGTGAAAAAAAACCTAAGGATTGTTGGATCAAACATAATAATGATGAATCTTAGAGTCAAGATAATTTCATAGTGTTGTGGGTTATTTGTCATGTGAATTTGATGAAAATTATATTTTTGTGGAGCTGATGGGGAAGCTTGTGAAGCTCGAGCTATTTTAGAGGGGTTAAAGGCTAAATGATCACATGGATACACTCATGTTCTATGTTGAATCAGACTCAAAGAGACTGGACTGCTGTCAACCATCCTACAGTCTATCACCACTATTGCTATATATATCATCAAAGATATTTTTCATGTATCATCTTTAATCACAGAAATCAATCGTTCTGTCAACACAGAAACCAAGTTCATCTTTTTGTGGAATGAAAATTTTCATTTTGAGCTTTATGAGTTGATTTTCTCCTATGCTGAGAGTGTTTTCATTGTTAATTAAAACTTCTTATTTTGGAAAAGGAAAACACTACAAAAATATTCAGCAGGTGGAGAGGTATGTTGTAGCTTTGGTGTAAATTTCAGATGATATCTAACATATTTTTTTTGTTATTTTGAGGTATCTTTATTGTTTTGTAGAGGCAAAGGTTCAATTATGCATGGGTGAATAGTGTGGACAGTTTTTGGAAGGATAGTTTTGCTCTTATTTGATATGAGAGGATATGGTTGTATGTGTCTCAGTCTTTAATGCATAGTTTTCTTTTTGGATTAAAGATTCTAGCAGTGTATAAAGATTCTTTTACTAAAAAGGAAAAAAAGGACAAATTTGTTACTTAGAAAAAAAAAAAAGTGGCACCTCATTGTATCCTCAAATGGATAAAATTATTTAGGACTAACAATTGCAGCATGTCTCATAGGTATGTCTGATAGCTTCTCAATAATGCATAACTGAAAGTTTCTATCAAGCTGTGTTTTTTGACTTGGTGTCAATGATTGAAGCAGCTGGTCCACACATCTGCTTCTTTTTAGCTGTTGAAAGAATGTGTAGAGAGAGAGAGAGAGAGAGAGAGAGCTATTGCTTCACTTCCATCCTTAGCAGGATGTTGTGAACACATCAAATAATTTCCCAACAGTATCTTATATGGAGGATAAGACCAGCATTCTTTTATGATTCTGCTGCATAATTAATTTGCTGATGCAGATGAGACTGGACAGGTTGATGTTTGAGTCAAGCCCTTGTCATTGATTTCTTCTCAGTTGATCCATATTATGATAAATCTTTGACTGGCAAAAAAAAAAAAAGGAGCTGAGACTGCTCTAGTGTTTTGATTTATAGTGAGGGCCCTGTTGAGGATGCTCAGCAGCAGCAAGATTAACTGAAGGGTAGACAGCAGCACTCAACTCAGAATAATTTTTGCTGTAAGCACAAAAGATCTGCTTTGCTTGGATCAGTCCTCCATGATCCAAATGGTTTTTCCTGACCGTGAGCCTAGAAGCTTGTAACTTGGGGCTTCAATCTGGCAGAGCTTCTGTGTTCTTCTGAATCACAGAAAAAGAGTTTGTCAAATGAGAGAGAGTTTACAGAACCTAAGCAAAGTAGAAGAGACTTTAAGACAAGTGCTAGATTTGGCAAAGATAGAAGATCATTCTGAAAAAGTTATAAAAAGATGATCTGATTCTCCTTTAGAGCTCATTGAATTGAAACAGAAGAATCTTAGGATGCCCAGACAATTGTGCTTTTTCAGAAGGTAAATGGATGTTACTTACAAGATCTATATTTGACTGCATGCAATTTACTTAGTTGTCCATCAACCAATCGATTAATTTATTTGCTTGCATTCAAAATTACAAGTTGGGAGATATGTGCTCCTGTTACCCAAATCATCAAGACTCTATCAGTCACTTGATGATGAATGAACATACTGAAAGAAAGCTGATATACATTAATATGCAAAAAGAAGAATCATGGAGCTACTGAACAATAATATATCATTAGCCAAGCCTTTTGCTTTTCTGTGGTTCCAGATTTTGCTCTATGTAAGATGTTTGTTATCTCTTTGATTGAGACCCCTTAATCAATCAGTGTTTGCTTTGTTACCTACAGAACAATATATCATTAGCTAAGCTTTTTGCTTTATCAGTGCTGCCCCATAGAATTTGTTTTTTCTTTTTTACCTTATTTTCTATTCTACATGGCTATGATAGATCCAAACATAGAACCCGAATGATTTATCTGTCAATTTTGCCTCGCTTTTTCTTTGTTTCTTTTTTCTTTTTCAATTTCCAGATGCTTATTCCTTCAAAGTAATAACAAGTCGTAACTCAGAAATTTGCTAAATCAAAACGAGACTTTCATCCAGTGAAAAGGAAGAGAAAATATAAGATATCACACAAATAGAAAGTCATTTTATGGTTGACCATATAACACTGCAGAAGCCACATAAAAGTCTTGGTGTCTATATATGAACAATCAAATGTAACAGATCAAGCAGAAATAATAAGCAAGTCCTTATTTTCGCAAATATTTGAGACTGCATTATGGACATGGAAGTATCAGCCTATTCCTGGAGAGCCATTATTGGAACCATCAACAAAATTCATTAAGTTTCTTGAATTAGTTCTGAATTCTTCTTTTGCCTAAGTTACTGATGAACTTTACCATATTGCTGAAGGAGAGCAAATTAGTTCAGAACTTTACCAACTTGCCAAGTTACTGAATTCTTCTTTTGCCTAAGTTACTGATGAACTTTACCAACTTGCTGAAGGAGAGCAAATTATGGACATGGAACTATGGAAGTATCAATCTATGCCTGGAGAGGCATTATCAGAACCATCAACAAATTCATTAAGTTTCTTGAATTAGTTCTAAATTCTTTTGCCTAAGTTACTGATGAACTTTACCAACTTGCTAAGGAGAGCAAATTAGTTCAGCAAAGTTGCACCACAGTTCACAATTAAAAGCATTTCATCCATCAAGCCTTCCAGAACAACAAGTGGGCAAGTGAATTCATGTGGTCTGCTGTCAGACTCTTTGTCCACTTTCCCAAGAAAATCTTCTGAAAATTGATGTCACGTAGGAACCTCTCCTGGTGTCCTCTTCCTCTCACTCGTTTGCTACCTTCCAGTGGAAGGTGGGGCACTAAATTCAGCAGTATCTCAAAAGCTGAGCCTCCTACTTGGATGATCTGGCCCCTAGCACCACTACCAAAAGCTTCTAGAAGAATTGAAACAAGCACATACATTACAAGGACTATGATATCTTACAACTTGTGGCTGTCAGAGTGGTTGTGTTTCTAAAATCCAGAATTTGATCACTGATTTACCAAGAAGATGACAAAGACCATATTGTGCTTTGATTATGTCTCTTTTAAATTCTGCATTGCATGAAGAGGGTGGCTCTTCATTGGTGTGATTCCAAGGTAATTTTTCATCAGATATGAGGGTACTGAGTTGAGATCTTCCTGCAACAAATGCTGTTTGACATGAATCAGAACACTAATCTGTTGCAGACAGACTTGACTTATCCAGACCCACTGTCAGCCATTTTCATCTTGCTTCATAATTATAGTCAAAGACTGGCTGTGGCAGCCAGCACACTAACAGTGAGATGTGATCTAAAGTTGTGAGAAAAATACAAAGATCTTTGGAAATTATTTGGGACTGGGGACCATATTTGAGCACTTTCCTTATCTGAAAGGATAAGGATTGATGAAGTCTTGTACAAGTCCCAGTCTTGTCCTTAAGAGCTTCTGCATGGGTATCAAACACTTGCATATTGTGCAAAGTTTGACATGTAGCAGAACAAAAGTTTGAAGTCTTTTATCCAATTTCTTGAAAGCTCTTCTCGAGCATGGTGGTAAAAACTTGCTACTTTCAAAACTTGTTGCATATCTGATTGTTTGCATTTGTTTTGGCAGAAGGAACTCCATGCCAAAGAAAAAATCAAGAACTGGCACACCTATCTGACAACATTATTTTTATCTTTGTTGACATGGAAACCATCTCTTGATGAGAACTGGTTGCCCAGAAGTATCAAACACTGCAAACTAAGCATATAATTCCATGTTAGCTAACATATCCATATAGCACTAGCAAAACCAGTTTTATCTGCACAGCTCAAAACGGAAGTTAGATCAAATACTGGAATTTTAAGCCAGCAGAGGTTTTAGAGCAAAATTAATGCTGATTAGACCAATGAGGCAAATATTCTAAGGACAACACTGAAATTTCCTTGGCATCTTTTAATAGACAATAGCAGTTAAATGCTACATATGCGCAATGAAGTGCAAAGCAGAAAATTTGCTAAAACCATCCACCGGTACGCACATTCAACTATTCAGGATATTAAGTGCAGCAAGATAGAATTTTTGAAGGAGCTAACTGAATTTAAGCCCAATTATTTTCATCTTCTTCCTCGACAACATTGTTCGGTATAGTCCTAATCTGATCTGAGCTTAAATGAACACATGGAAAAAGTAGGATTCATTAAACATTTCAATCTAAGATTTCTGATGACAACATGTAAACCACGAAAATCAAGAATCTAAAACCACATCTCACAGGATATGCACAAGTGTATTCAACCATGGATGACAATTAGCATGTTTTTAATGATGCTCGAGTATGGATCACTATCTGCATTTGGCATGAGTAAAATAACTAAATTTTCATTCAGAAAATAACCAGTGGTCAGAGAGTTAATTACAAGAAACAATACATCATAACCGAAATGGTGGATTTTGAGTCTGTGAACTGTGAAGTTGGACTTATTTGACCTTTTATTATGTTTCTCAACTCAAGATCATCATCAAACCTGCCATTTTGATTACATTTTTCAAATGAAGTGCAGTTGCATTGATGTTCCAGAACTGCTCCAAGATGGAGTCACTATCACTCTTCTGTCAAAAAGAGGCAATGCTTCCAGATGAATGTCCTTTTCTTCCTAAAATTGACAACCTCTAAAACCTGTTCTTACTGTTCTATCATGCAGTGCAACAAAACAACAAGCAAAATAAGTGGCATCACTCAGCCAAACTCCACCACTTGACCCCAAGACAAACAGCTCCATATGGCACAGAAGATGAAGATCTCATCTCATGTCTCCATACCCATCAAGCCTCACCATTTCAATGACTCAAAGAGTCTCCCAAGAACCAAATTCTATAGCTTGAAAACAAAAGAAGCAATACAACTTCAAGTTTTCCTTCCACCTCAGGATTATAATGAACAGAATCACCACTCCCTAAGTGCTTCTGGAATTCTCTGGCAGTTCCTTCCAAGCTAAAATTGCCAATCCATTGTCCTCTCCATCTCTCTCTACATATCCATCCAAATCACATGTGATTTGCTCTTTCCAGTACCCAAAAGACCTAGCACTGATTGTCCCGCACACCTCACACATGGCCCCAAACCATTGAGTCATACAAAGTCACAATTAAAAAAAATTCCATGGATGATGATTCCTATCCTATCATTAATTGATTGTCCCTCATCTTACTTGCCCCAAGATCTTTAAATACCAAAAATAAATATTATTTCTATGAATTATAGAATTTTTGTAACTGGTAATGGTAGCATCTCTAGAATTATGGGTCCTTACCATGAAGCCCCATGAACCACAAATATACAGATCCACAAGAAATGAAATCATCAAACACACTTGCTCCCTCTCTACTTAAACCCCCATCCAACCCCATCCTTGCATCACAAGTTTACTACCATTCAGTGGCAACAGTATTCACGAATGAGAGGATGAGAAGAAAAGCACCATAAATGAGTAGAGAGAGAGTGCATAGCGAGAGAGAAACTGTAGGATGAGAGGAAGAGTGAAGAGAGGAAGAGGGATAGAGGGAGAGGAGTGTCACAAGGATTTGATACCGCGTTTGCCGGATGACATAGCATTGGATTGCCTCGCCCGAGTCCCGCTCCGATTCCACCCGAGTCTCCGACTCGTCTGCCCCCGCTGGCGCGATCTGGTCACCGCCCCCTCCTTCCACCGCCACAGGGAACGCATCGGAGTGGCGGAGGATCTGATCTTCCTCGTCCAGGCCGTCGTCCCCGTCGACAAGGGCAGCGGTTCTGACGAGGGGGAGGAGGAGAGGAAGGGTGGGGCCGCCGCTTGCCGGCCGCCGGTGTATGGGCTTAGCGCCTACAATGCGACGCTCGGGTCGTGGCACCGCGTGGTGACGCCAGAACAGGTGCCGCTCTTCGCGCAGGTCGCGGCGGTGGGGAGGGAGGTGGTCCTGCTGGGGGGCTGGGACCGAGCGAGCTTGGAACCGACGGCGGAGGTCCGGGTGCTGGACCTGGCGACGGGCGGGTGGCGTCGTGGGGCGGCGATGAAGGCGGCGAGGAGCTTCTTCGCGTGCGCGGCGGTGGAGGGGCGGGTGTACGTAGCGGGGGGCCACGACGGGCAGAAGAACGCACTGCGGTCGGCGGAGTCGTACGATCCGGCGGCGGACGCGTGGTCAG